AGAACAGGATGATGCTCAATAGGACAAGAATATATCATCCCCTTAAATATGCTTTCCTTTAAATGTGCCATGAACTGTGAGTAAAATGCTTGCCCAATATTAATTCACATGGCTTAGGTGTCTGCCACGAAAATAAGCCATGTTATATCAACCTGAAAATCTGGTATTTTAAATCTTTTGAAGGGCACAGCTCTCAATCTGCAGACTTGGAGTGCTAACAGTATCTATTCAAAACACCATTAAAGATAACTAGTTATGTTATCTTTAACATAAATCTATTACAGGGTGTCCTAATTAGCTATAGAGGACTCTCATTATATTGCTTGCTTAAATAAGAACATGTACAGCTTCTCCTTCCTGCAGTCAAGCAATGCAGCAAAACGCAAATCTAAACTTTAATGAACTTAGAGATTTTCATACAGACTAAGCATAATAAAGACGACTGTGGTTACTGAAGCAGATACATTGCATGCTGCCACAGTAGCAGAACATTAGATAAGTAAAGATCAAATAAGGGATCAGCCTGATTTACCACTGTGTAGGTCTTCATTTTTACGTTAAGCTACAAATACTTTTTATCATAACCAACAGCTGCAAAAGATTGTTTTTGCTTTAGTGAAAACTAAATATGTGTTAACATGATGAAATACACATGTAAAATACATATCTGTGAAGAGAATGACTGGTCATTTATGGCCTTTTTTGCTCTAGTTATAAATGGAAATAGTTAAACTTAGTGAATGTTCCTTTCATTTGAATAACCGCCATCCTCAATTTCTATTCAAGCAGTTATAGAGAAAGGTGCTTGGGATAGACCTTATTTTTAAAATAAATTATAACTAATCTTCTTTAATAACTTAGGAGATTACTGAAGTCCTTATATACACAGGAACATGGAAATTCATTTGCATGAAGGCTGCAGTATTGTTTCAGGTTTATCTTTATTTTATATGAAATTAGAGTGTGTATGTTACATAAAATACTATTATAACATTTTTTTAAGCAAAATGCTTCAAAATATTACCAATCTACTTGGTTATATTTTAAATCTATAAAAAAGGACAGAACTAGTTAAAAGAACACAAGAAGTCACCTTTATAAGAGTGAGAGGGCAGCAGAGGGAGAGCACAGAAATAATTTTTCACATTGTACTCATTTCTAGTTTCCCCACAAGAAGCGTGATGACTCAGCTCCCATGCTCACAAGAGCTGCTCTGTAATGATGGCAATATGTGGGGAAGGAAACATCAGCAAACTGGACAGCTGAATGATGGGAGCTGAGTGCTATCTCCTTCTCCAGCTATATAAAGCAACATATTTTACATAAGGTGTCCATCTGACTTTCTTCCTGCCCACTACAGAAGAACATATCACAGAATGGTTTGGGTTGGAAGGGACCTTAAAGATCATGTAGTTCCAAGCCCCTGCCATGGGCAGCGACACCTTCCACTAGACCAGGTTGTTCAAAGCCCCATCCAACCCAGCCTTGAACACTGCCAGGGATGGGGCAGACACAGCTTCTCTGGACAACCTGTGCCAGGGCCTCACCACCCTCACAGTAAAGTGCTTCTTCCTAAAGTCTAAATCTACCCTATTTTCAGTTTAAAGCCATTACACCTTGTCTTATCACTACATGCCCACGTAGTAAGTCTAGTAAAGGACTGAATAAACTGCAATGAACAAGATGAACAAGAACTTTTTAAAAATATAAATCAGCACTAGTTTTGATTTTTTTTTCCTTTAAAGTTTACATACCCTCAGTACCCTCATATCCTGACTGTCCTCTGAACTAAATTAAATATTTGAGTAATAATGAATGGTACAGTTCAATAAATTGGCCTTTGAATTTTGAAAGAAGTACAGTCTATAGTTAAGCTCAAGTAAAATGGATATAAAAATGGATCTACTTGATCCAGTAATGACTGATAAATTACCATTAACTACTGAGAACATACATGCTAAATAAACATGAAAATAAATGGGATAAAGGAAAATATGACCAAGTTAACACAGAACTATGACTTTGCTGAGATTTTTTCCAAGTTTGAATACTGAGCCTTTCGTCAAGATATGATCAACACTGTACCTTCATTGAGCTGATTCATAGCATTCACATCATTTTATGCTGCCATTATTGGCTTCAGCAAGCTTTACTGTCAGAAGTACAACAATTCTTGTTACAGCAAATACCTACAAATACTGTAACAAAACACATCCAAGCGGCTGAATCAGCTTTCTAGATTTCCTTATAAGCATTACCGTCAGAGGAATTTTTCTTTGACAGTCTCTCCTATGTAGGTAATCCTTAAAATTACAGATAATACTTAAAAGAAGTCTGTACTGTAAAAGTATGTATACACACTCTACTAGAATGAGGAATTCAGCAAGAATGATGTAATGGGATCTATATTTAGACCACAAAAAAAATTAAATTTTTTTATATAATTACTTTTGCACTTCTCAAAGATTAGAAGCTTCCCTTTTTTCCACTGATCTATCATTTAAGGTAAAGTATTAGTTCCAATTCCTATTCATGAAAGGGATAAAATCATTGGTTAATTTTATATCATACTGTTCCACAAAATCCCTCTTTGCTTTGGCTCATTCTATTACCTATTTGTCTTACGAGTCATTTTGCTTAAATGACATCCACAAAAATCATATTTGAACTTTTAAAATTTATATTCAAACTGAATTGTTCTATCCAAGGAAAGATCACTTCAAGTTAAATGAAAACTATTAAATACTTTCCCAAGAGCACAAAAATTTCAGAAAGTAATTTTAAAAAGTTTTAATAATCACTGGCCCAACTCAAGAACTTCTTATCTAGATTTTATCTCTAAAAACCTCTTAATTTAATGGCAGAATGAATTCTGTTTGCATAAAGTTTTTAAGTATCTGATAGCTACCAAAAAATAAGTGGACGAAACCAAGAAAATGCATTATTTTGAAAACATTTTTCCAGTTTAATTTGGATCACACTTCCATTTTCAAAGCTTTTCATAAGCTTAAATAAGTAAAAAAGCTGTTCTGAAAATATTAACCCAAGTAATTTCTGAGATGAAATATTCTAACTCAATAAAAGCAGGTGAAAAATGGCATTTATAAGCCAAAAGATGCCCCTATTGGCAATCTCAGCTGAACAAACAGTTCCTAGGAAATCAAGGACAGGGAGTCTCCCTCCCAATCTCCCAGCTAATAAAAAAAAGGAGAGAATCCTAAAAGATTTCCAGGCTTTCCAGATGTATAAATATTTTTTTTGTATCTCAGTTTGTGTCCATTCCCCGTTCACTTTTGCTGAATACCACTGAGGAAAGTCTGGCTACATCTTCTTAACTCCATCCCATCTGGCATTTATACATTCTGCTAAGATCCCCCTGAGCCTTCTCTTCTAACGGTCCAACCTCTTGCAACACCTCATCTGGTAGATGCTCCACTACCTTAACTACTATCATAGCCCTTTGCTCAACTCTCTCCAGTATGATGATGTCTCTTTTGCACTTGGGAGCCTATAACTGAACCCAACACTCCAGATGTGACCTCACCAGTGCTGAGCAGAGGGGAAGGCTCACCTCCCTCACCCTGCTGGCAATGCTCTGCCTACCATAGCCCAGGGGCTGGTGGCCTTCTTTGCCATAAGGGCGCACTGCCATCTCCTGTTCTGTTTGTTGTCCACCAAGACCCACCAGGGCCTTTTCTGGAGAGCTGCCTTCCAGCTGGTCAGCCCCCAGCTGTAATGGTGCTTCTCAAGTGCAAGAGTTTTCATTTCCCTTTGCTGAATTTCACAAGATTTCTGTTCATCCATTTCTCCAGCCTATCAAGGTCCTTCCAAATAGCAGCACAACCTCCTAGTCTAACAACTACTCCTCCCGATTTTACATCATCTACAGACTTGTTGAGGCTATGCTCTGCCCTGTAATTCAGATTACTAGTGAAGATTTTAATCAGCATTCACACCTAGGAGAGACCACTTGTGACTGGGCTCCAGCTGGACTTTGCTGTTCGAGCCTGGCAGCTTAGCCAGTTTTTGGTCCACCTCACTGTCCACTTTTCTAGTCTGTACTTCATCAGTTTGTCAATAAGAAGGTCATGGGAGATAGTGACAAATGCCTTGTTGAAATCAAGACAAACAAAGGAAAAATTTAACTGTATCACAGCTGAAATAAGAATAATCCAAACCAGAAGCTCAATCAATACTGGATCTTGTAACACATGAGCCACCAAAGTCAACAATTAGCCAGTCACTCACCATACCCTAAGAAAACATGGGCTTTGCTTTTTTTCTAACTTTAAATAGGAACCACACTTTTTTTTCTAGAAAAATTACTTTAACCCAAAGATGTCCCTTTCTCTTCATCAGTTTCTGGGCTTTTATCCCTTCATTCTTAACAAGAGTCAAAGCAAGACTCCCCTGAATCAGTGCCTATGAGCTTACAATAACCTTGAGTATGCTCAAACAGTACTTAGGAGTTCTTCCTTTCTACATTGTTTTTAGATTGAGTCACTGATAGTGAAACCATTGTTATCATTACAGGAAAAGGTGAAAAAACAGTTCAACAAAGAATTCATAAATTAATGGAGCACTTCAATATCATAAAATTGCTATACCAATTCAGGTAACAAGTTGCTGTATGTAAGAGAGAGAAGAGCCATAAAGAGGTAATATTTATTTTCTAGGCTACTACTGTAGACTAGAAAGATGTAACATATACAGAATTGAACTGCAAATGAAAAAAATTGTTTATTCCTTATAAAACCATACAAAATTAATCTCTGCTTGACTCTAATATATACAGCCTTTCATAAGGTTCTCTGTTCCAAAAGAAGTAAACGAAGGTAAATAATGCATAACGTATTACAGTGATCAAGCTAAAACAACTTGCCTAAGCACATTTTATTTGTCATAAAACTTTTCTAAAAGACATTCAAAACTATAGCACACAAGACTCTCAATTAGACTTAGAAATATGCAAACTGACAGCCAAAAGGATGAACACATACCCTTAATAATCGATTCAGCAGCATACAGATCCCGCTTGTAGGTCACCTAAAGGACAGACAAGCCTCATTAGATTCAACACAGCAGGAAGGAATGTAAAACCAATAAAACAATGCCCTGAAGGCAATTCTTTACATTTGAAATACCATAAACAAATGATATTGTCAATTTCTTAATTCTGGTAAAAGATCACTAGCGAGCCAGGAGAACAGAAGTTGCAGAAATTACTGGAGACTCAGAAGAAACCTTTCTCTAAATACTGAGATCTGCTTAGATCTCATTTGAAACCTGAACCTACTTTAAACCCTTTAAAGAATCATATAAACTTGCTGTTGCATCTATTTTAACATACCCATTCTATTCTATAATTTTTACTGTGAAATAGATTAATTTCTCATAGGAGTTGTGATCATAAAAAATGACAGCTAGGGAGAAGTCTCATTATTTCAGTGATTTTTCAGTAGTGCAAGACTATTAGTGTTAATGAGAATCCAATTAATCAGTGGGAGTGAGACTATTGTAGGCTTTGTATGAGCTTTCAGAGGATTAAAACCCATCAAAATCTTCATGAAGACATTAATCAGATCAAGTTAGATGGACAATAATAAGCTGAGTATTAACTTGGTACTTGGAAAAAACAGCTTTCCTATCTGCCTTTGTACCCTCATGGCGGTGAACAAACCCAGTACTAGTCTTTGCAAACACAGTGAGAGAAAACTAAAGCCAGCATCTACCCAAGACACTAACAGTCTCTGCTAGCAACGTCTTTGCAATGACATGCAGTGACATGAACTGATGGAATAACTCCTAAATATCTGTCTTTGTTTTTACTGTAACTTCCTTTTATGTTAAATAAAACATCACTGGCTTTTCTGCATTTGTTTTTCTAGAGTCTGAATAACTTTCTTCTTTCTTTTTGAAATGGACTGAATAGGATTCCAAAAGCTTTAGTGCTGTAAAGTAAATCTTACAGCAAAGACATACCATCGTGGGTATTAGCATTTTAGTCTCCAAGTAAATGCTTGTTTGATTTTAACACAAGGATTCTTGTAACCGCTTTCCCTTCCATCTCATAAATTAAGTTGTGTATTGTAGTCAGAAACAGAAGAATAAGATTACCTTTCTCATTACTCATAATTTCTCTAAGGAATTAGACTTTTTTTAAAATGAAAAATTAACTTACTTCCCCTACAGCTTGTCTTGCAGGAGAAGCAGCCAGAGAATAAGTCTAGCCTGAGAATCTTTGGTGTCTCAGCATACTATTGGGAAGAATCACTGTCTTGAATTTAAATTTAAGGATAAATAATTATTAAGTGGCCAATTTTGTTGCAAGCTTTCTTTCTAATTACCTGTTTCTAAAGGGCTTTTATACTGAACTTTCAGTAACCTGTGACAGATTACCATCTGAAAACCTTATATGAAACAAGACTATCTAAACTTTGTGGAAAGTGGTCTCACGTACTCAAAGGTTCACAACCTCTTTCAGATGCAAAATTATTTTTAAATAGTCTAATTTTAAGAAGTTACTTAATAAACTAGGCCCAGTCTTGAAGAAAACACCACAGAATAATATGAAACTATGAATGAACCTTTAAAATAATTTCTGAAATTCTAAGCCAGACACCAACAAATGCTTTCTAGTATAGTTTCCTAGAGAAATAGATCATCTGAGACCACATCACACTATCCATATATATTTCTTTCATAATCTTATAAGCTAATTTCAGATACAAGCTCCTATAAGCTTTATGAAAACAGTCACGTTGACAGACATAAAAACCCTGCTAGTTACCACAGGTGATCACCACAGGAAGTAAGGGATTCTCTACACCTCCTTCAGTATTTACTAAGATGCTAAATCCAGTGAAAGTTTCTTTTAAAGTATGGATATTTAAAAGTTGTCGTGATTTTCTTGAGTTGATTAAAAGGTGTTCTTGCAATTTAGAATCATATAATCATAGAATACTTAGGGTTGG